AAAAAAAAAAAAAAAAAAAAAAAAACACCCTATCTCCCTCTCCCTGTGTGGCATGCTGTTAACCTTTCTTTTGCCCTGTGTGACATTCTCAAGGCCAACATGTGACATTATCTTGGCCCTGTGTGACATTCTCACTGCCAACAACAAAGCAATGAAAAAGGAAAGGGAGTGAAGCTGACTGTCCTGTTGTGTTATTTGGTGCTTTTTTTTTTTTTTTTTTTTTTTTTTTTTTTTTTTTTTTTTTTTTTTTTTTTCTGTGGCATGTGCCTGGACAGACCCGATGGTGAAGTTCATGCGCGAGGCGCTGGAAAAGTCCGGATGCCCTACTGGGAAAAAGTTTTTTAAGGCGGAAGTTTGCAGTCAGGAAGCAGGTGGTGGCTTTAGGCCAGAGGACGGGGTCAGTGGTAAAATAACATACAAATAAAATAAAATAAAATAAGCGAAAAATGTTCAATCACGAAAGGGGTTTTCATTAGCACAAGGGGGAATGGTTTTCGATCAGCAAAAGATTAAGTAAATGCTGAAAAATTGAAAATTACTGAAAAACCTGTAGAATGCAATGATTCTGAAACAACAATTGCTGGGGGGGGGGGGGGGGGGGGGAGGAGGAGTGGTAGCTTTTTAATTTTTAATTTTATTTATTATTTTATTCATTATTTTTATTTTAAAAGCTGTCTTCTCCTCATCGGGGGACAGCTATATAGTATTTTTCTCTCACCTCGCATATTTTTTAAACTGTCTTCTGTCATGTCATGGAACGTATCTTTTTCATTCCTACACAAGCCCCCCCCCCCTTCCCCTCTCCTCCCCCCTCCTCCCTCCCTTCCGCACCAAGATGGCTGGAAAAAAAACCAGCTGCTATTTATCCATCCATCCATCCATCTGTCCGTCCGTCTGTCCCCTCACCCACCTGTTCACCCGTCCACCCCCTCATCCCCTCATCCCCTCATCCCCCCATCCACCCATCCACTCATCCACCCATCCACCCATCCACCCATCCACCAAGTCTTTCGCACCATGTCTCTTGATCTCCTGCTGTTGTAAAACCGGCAGTTCTTGAGGCGCCTCTTCCGCCAGGCGGCGGCCCCGCATTCAACGCGGTATATCAGTTTGTCCGTCTGTCCCCTCACTCACAGATCCGCCCATCCACCCATCCATCCATCCCCCAAGTCTCCCGTGCCATGTCTCTTGATCTCCTGCCGTTGTAAAACCAGCAGCTCGCGAGGCGCCCCTCCCGCCAGGTTGTGGCCCCGCGTTTACCTCGGTGTATCAGCTCGTCCGTCCGTCCCCTCACCCACCGATCCACCCATCAACTCATCCTTTCATCCCCTCATCCCCTCATCCCCTCATCCCCTCATTCCCCCGTCCCCCCATCCCCCCATCCCCCCATCCCCCCATCTGTCCCTCTGTCCTCCATCCATCCATCCATCCATCCATCCATCCATCCAGTCAGCCAGCCAGCCAGTCGTCCATCTATCCACCCACCTAGCCTCCCACCTGCCTCAGGACCCAATTGCGATGCTCTTCTTCCACCAACCCCCAAACACACCCAGGTTTAGGGTTTATGGGTTCAGAAGAGGCGCGTGAATGGCGAGGCTGATTGAGCCTGATCGAGGCTGAATACTCTTTTGTGGCAAGCCATGCACTTATCAGGGCACAACATGAGATGGATGGATGGGTGGGTGGGTGGGTGGGTGGACGGGAGGGTGGATGGGTGGACGGGAGGGTGGATGGGAGGGTGGATGGGAGGGTGGGTGAGAGACGGTAAGGGCTGGACCTGGACCGATAACTCACGCTCGTGCATGCATTTGTGACCCAGAATGCTTATCTGTCTGTCGGGGAGAACTCGCGCTTGTGTTGAGCTGCACCCAGCAATGCACAGCTGCTGTTCTGTTTTCTTTGTATTGTTGGTCCCAAGATTCGATCCCTGCCCTACAGGAGCCAAGTTTACCCGCTTTTGTCTCAGTTGCTGTAATCATTAAATTTTATCGGCTGTGTATGATGAGAAACAAGTTCTCGATCTTCCCAATCAAGCGTGTGTCTGTGTTGGAGAGGGAACTCGGGTCGGTGGTTAGATGCACGTCATTAAACGATGAATCTTGCCGAAATAAAATCTTTCAGTGGGGAGTCTTTCATCTGCTAAATATATAAATATATAGGAATATTAATGAATATAATTTCTTGCAAACTTCTCTCTCTCTCTCTCTCTCTCTCTCTCTCTCTCTCTCTCTCTCTCTCTCTCTCTCTCTCTCTCTCTCTCTCTCTCTCTGTCTTTGTCTCTCTCTCTCTCTCTCTCTCTCTCTCTCTCTCTCTCTCTCTCTGTCTTTGTCTCTGTGTGTCTGTCCCTTTCTCTCTCTGTCTCTGTCTGTCTGTCTCTTTCTCTCTCTGTCTCTGTCTGTCTGTCTCTTTCTCTCTCTGTCTGTCTGTCTGTCTCTTTCTCTCT